AAAATTTGCTTGGTCAAACCTTTCGCCTCTTCTTCGGTATATTCTTTCACGGCCATCAGGAGAACGTAAACAAAACCTTGACTCGTCAGAAAATAAAACCTTACTCCATTCATCGATATTCCAATGTTAATGCTCCCTGACAAATCGAAGACGTGCTGTTCTTGTGATTCCTAAGTAACTCTGGACCAGTTGCAGGTCTTCTGAAGCGTAATCCATGTTCTCGTAATCGCCTTCGAATCGTTATTTCGTTAACAGCTAGTTGACGTACTTCTTCTAAACGGTTTCGAGCCATGACAGCAGTAGTATTTCTTTCTCGCAAAACATTTATTGTCATAAAACGATCATCTCGAACATTTGTAGAAACGTTCGTCTGCCAGATTCTCTTCGTCTCGAAAAACTACCAGTTTCATTAAAACCTTGTACAACTCTCTGGACGCTACACCTTGTAACAGCCAATATTCTAGAAGTATAATACTGAGTCCTGCCGTCTTGTACCAGAGCAACTGCTCATGTTGCATCAGTCAGCGTTAAAACCATGATATTATGCTGATAATGAATAATAATTAAACTGCAATTGCCAAGTAACGAATATTTGACAGTTGTCATATTGTGAGTTGGCCACAGCACTCTACTTATTTTGTAGTTTATTCTGTACCGTCATTTTAAATTATGACCGTTTCTAAAATGTAGCATTTTCTTTTAAACCGTCACATTTCACAAAAAATTATGATATCGGGGGTAAATAAAAAAAAAGTGTTGGTACAAATCAGTCTTCTTGATAAAGTTAATTGTATGCAGATCTACTAGCAGAATTACACCTACAGGTGTGTCAAAAGTAGAGGAAAAAATTGTTTTCTTCCCCCCCCCCCCCCCCCCGTATATCCGGCGAGTACTAAATTACTTTTAGATGTCCGAATAATAATCTTAAACTACAGTTTTTTATCTAAAAGTTGCTAAAAACTTCAAATAAATAAGCCTTTGAAAGTCAGAGCATTTTTATATAAATCATTATTTTGAATGGATCAAATTTTAGGTCGGTGAATGTATTTTACTACAAACATTTTAACTTCAAATTATTACTTTCGAGTTACACAAAAAAGTACATTTCTGAATTAGTTAAGTTCGTTTCCATATTTAAAGAGACCAGAAAAAACTAAAATTAGTCATGTTATTGTACAATGATTTTACTGCTAAAATATAACGTT